ATATAGCAGAATGGGCAGTGCACTGGCAAAAGAGGGGCATGTTGGAAAGGATTATAGATCCCCATCTCCTGGGATCTATAAATCTAGAGTCCCTGAGGAAATTCGGTGAAACAGCCGAAAAATGCCTAGGGGAGCATGGAGCAGAGAGGCCAACAATGGGAGATGTTTTGTTTAATTTGGAGTATGCTCTGCAGCTGCAAGTGACTTGTGTACAGAATGTATCGTCGGAAAACAGTGCTAACTATTTTCCAGATATCTGTGGATGGATCCCAGGTGACACCATTACTGACCAAGATTCTGATGCAACGGCGACGAGCAGTGGAGTTTTTTCACAGTTGATGGATCCAAAGGGTAGATAGTTCTGTAAAAGTGGTAAATTTTCTTGATTAATTTCTTCTGTTTTAGTGTGTATTTAGGTTTTTTCTCATATTAACGGGTTCAGGTCTAGGCATGATTTTTCTCCACTTTGACTGACAGTAAAAGTTGTAAGAAATTTGGAATTCAATATTGTTGTTTTCAGATAGTGAAAAATGAAAATGATGATTAATTCATCTTCTTATTTTTCTTTTTCTTTTTCTTTTTTTTTAAATCTTCTCTGTTTTTGTTGAATATCCTCTTGGGAGTTTTTGTGGCTGCAAAACTTAGTTTAATGGCTTCCAGGTATATACTATATGATTTCTCTCATAAAAGGTACTATTTTTCAAAAACTGTTAATAGAATTTTCTTTTGTTTTTTTTTTGAGAAGACTGTTAATAGAATGTTTAGTTTACTATATATTAAGTAGTAATTTTTAGGGACAACAGCCTTCGGATAAATAATTCTTTTAAATTTTGTATATCTGATATGATTCCAAATGTATGTAAATTATATTATACTTATCGAATTTAGTTGTTTAATTTAAATTTTTTGTTAAATTTACAAATATTTTTACATAATAAATAAATAAAAACTAAATTTTTTTTTTCTTTTGTACACAGTTTTTATTGAGTATTTTCTTATTGCAGAGCTTAGTATTAAGTACAAAAAATATTTTCAAAATAAACTCCCACATTAAATATTTTAAAAAGTATAGTATAATTGAAACTATACCGAATAAGATTTTCTTAAAAAGTATTATTTTTTAAAAATTGTTACTAAATGTTTAGTTGATTATATATATATATATATTTTGGTTGCATAATGATAGGTAATCATTTCCATTTTTATTTCCATTTTTTATTTCACTTTACATGCATATCATGCAACTCAAATTCAAAATTTTTTTATTTTCAGTAGAAGAAAATAACTATTAAATTATTTAGATTATTGACGTTTAGTTTATTATATTAATTATTGAATAAAAAATTAAAATTTTTCCTTTATCTAATAATTTATATTTTATAGTTTAGTTCATATGTTTAAGCAGGATTCCCTTGAGTGTTATCCCTAAATCGCAATGCCAGTTGTAGGGACGAGAGGTAAGTAGAATGTTCTGATCATACTAATGGACAAAGGTGAGTTCGACCTAAAGAACATATTTCAACGACAAGCTCAATTATGAGAAGTAACGTGTGAGGTCATTTGAAAGCTCAAGAAGAGCTTAGAAACGTATAATGTTGAGGAACTAGGAATTGGACGGTCCAATAATTAGGACAGTGCCGGCCGTTTCACCGATTTTATTTGTGGTGATGCAGCCCTCTTGTTGTCGGCATATAATTTATGAATTAGGTTCACGGTTCTGTTCTGTTCAAAGAGCTTATTTAACACATGATATACCTGCTCCAGGAGAAAGCGACATGAAAAAGAATAAAGGATTAAGATGGTTTGCACCTTCATGAATCATGAAGAGCCTCAAACAAGTTACATTTGGATTAATTCATATGG